GTCCACCCTTCGCGCACCACCCAGCTGGCCATGCGCTCCGCCGTGGTCCTGGCGCTTCTGCTGTGCGCCGGGCAAGGTAAGCAAGCGGCTTTGGGCTCGGCAGCGGGTCCCCTCTCCTGCCCCAGGTCCCTTTCGGCGCCCGAGGATTCAGCACCACGGACAGCGCCCAGGTCTCTGGTTAGCGTCTAAGTGAGACCAGTAAGGTGGCCTCCAGTCTTCCACCACACCCGGAGGGACTGTGGAGCCTGACCCAACCCCACGGGGCATCTCCCCCTATGCCCCCAACGCATCACCAACCGGCTCCAGGCTCTGCACCGACCAAGGTCACTGGGGGAGATGGGGATTGTCGTTGGCTTTCCAACCTGTCTCCTGCCCTTCCATTCTCCAGTCTGCCCTTCATCTCTTTCTTTCCTCATCCCACCTCTTTGCCACCACCTTTGGGGTTTCTCCCCTACCCCAGTCCCACTACATGGCTGGTCTTGTTCACACTGAACTTGATTTCAGCTCTGTATACACCCTCCTCCGGTGGGGAATGGTTGAGGCTCTTCAGTGCAGCCTCTGAGGGCCACCCCTGGGGCAGCAAGAAGGAGAAGCAGGAATCAGTGCTGGTGACTTACTTGGGTTTTGGATGGGGATCAGTTTGAGAGAGAACATTTGGAGAGTGAGTGCCCCCACTCTGGGAGGGAAGAACCGGCCTTTCCTGGGTGCAGAGAAATGACCCCAGTTAACAGTCTCTCTAACTCTCTGTCTCTCTGTCTCCCTCTTTTCAGTCCTTGCCCTCCCTGTGAACAGCCCCATGACAAAGGGGGACACTAAGGTAAGAAGGAATGTTGGGGTACCTTGGGAGAGGGAGGATGCCCTGTGGGCACCTCCTGGCCAGTCCTTGGGCAGCTGCAGGAGTGAGTCTGGCATAGAGCCAAAGCCAGCATTGCAGCAGCTGAGCTGCGGACAGCTTATACAAGAAGACATCAAAGATCCCAGCTATCCAGCTGCAGTGACTTCCCAGGGGTCCCATGTCTCACCTGCTGGGATCTGGGCCCGGGACACTGGTTTGAGCCAGGACCATAGCTTCTTCTGCCCTAGGTGTCCACAGACCTGCCTGGCTCTGCCCACCCCTGTCACTCCCCTTTGCCTCCCCACTCTCCCTCCTATCTCTGCCTCCTGCCTCTGCCCAGGGCTACCTCTGGCAGTAAGGAACAAGCCATACCAAAACCCTGGAAAACCAGGGCTGTTCTTCTAGGATCTAGACGCCTCTATCTGAGCACCAGAGAGTTCTGTTCTCTGTGTTCTGAGGGCTGTCTTCTGTGAGAGGATACAGTTAAAAACCAAAGGCATCAAAGAGCTCAGCATGTATTTGTTCTTGTTGTTTGTTGTCAACTGTACACAGGCCAGTGTTTAACTTTTCACCACTCATTCTAGCCATGCAACCTTGTAAAATCCAATGTCTCTAGGTGTCTCTTTATCCTCATGAAGAAAGATTGGGACTCATGGGTGAAGCCATAGGCACCTAGTAGGCCCTCGGTGATTTTCCTAGAGCCTTCCTTTCTATCTCCCCAACATTTTTTTCTTTGTTCTTCCTTCTTTTTATTTCTTCCCCCCTCTCTCTTTCTTCCTTTCTTTCGACAGTGTCTCTCTATGTAGCCCTGGCTGTCCTGGAACTCATTACATAAACCAGGCTGTCCTCAAACTGTGAGAGATCCACTTGCTTCTGCTTCCCGAGGGCTGGGATCAAAGATATGCACCACAATGTCCAGCCCAACTTTCCAATAGTCTTGAGACCCCCCACCCAACTCCTGTCTTCTGGTGTCTGCCCTCAACAGCTGGCGTTTGCCTGGTATTCTCTGTGCAAAGTCTGGTGTTGGGGAGAAAGGGTACATGCTTCTAGGAGCTGCTTGCCAGATGTGCTCCCACCATTGTAGCATGGCCACTGGGGTCAGAGGTACCAGGAGCTGGGGATGACCTGCATGTTCCCTCAGAGGTTGTTATGACTACACTCCCTGACAGACTTTGCCACCTTGCTACCTTGGAACCAGGGGTTGGATGTCTCCACATTGCATAGACACAGCCTCCCACGCCTTCACTCCCTGCCCATGTTGCCTGATGCATGTCTAGCACCTCCTGCTCCTCCCTCCACCCAGCTGCCAGCTGTCGAAACAGATCTGATGTGATTCCCTCCCTGAGTGTGTGTGGCACTTCACACTGGATGAACTGTTTTCCATTGGGTGGCCATTCTTATCCCTGTTTTATGTATGAGGACACTAAGGCTCAGAGAGACTAAGTCACTTGCTCAAGATCACACAGCTAGCATACCACAAGTGAACACTGTCTTCAAAGACCAGTGGTCTGCCAGGTGTTTCACTTACCTACTGCACCTCACTGGCTGAGACAAAACATTCAGAGAAATGTCTTGGTCTGAAATGAGCATTGAGATGTAACTAGTTGGTATCTCACATCCAGTCAGGGGGTTCTTCTCATGGAACAATGTGGAGCCTCCCCACCCCGTGTGGCTGCAAAATGGGAGGCGGCCCTGTTTCTGGCAAGTTCAAGCCCAGATGGGTTTAGGTTCTTCATCGGACAGCCTGGAGGACATCTTGGCTGAGATGATCCTTTGGAATCTGCTGGACCCCAAGAGGTCCTCTTAGGTCTCAGAGTCAGCATCATCCTTAGCGAACCACCCAAAGAGTAAGAAGATGGCAAGCACATACTCCTACCCCTCCCTCGACAGGTCCCCTTGAGGCTCATGCTGGTATGCCCAGGTGATTGGTTTGACCCATAGTGTGTGTGTGTGTGTGTGTGTGTGTGTGTGTGTGTGTGTGTGCTCTGTTTCTATGGCTCTATGAGATCTAGTTAAGGAAGCAGAGGTGGGCCCCTGGGCTTCTTGCAGACAACATAAATGCTCTTCTGTCCTCCTGGGAAAGTTGCCCTGGCACCTCCAGGGATGAGCTCTATGTTCATACCAGCCACAGCCTGCCTTGCTGTCTCCCAGGTGATGAAGTGTGTCGTGGAGGTCATCTCTGACTCGCTGTCCAAACCCAGCCCCATGCCTGTCAGCCCCGAGTGTCTGGAGACCCTCCAAGGAGGTAGGAGTCAGAGGCTGGAGGGACTGGGAAGCTAGGATGCAGGTGGGTGGTGGATCTTGGCAGGACTAAGCATCTCACCCAGCAGTCATTGCTCCAGTGCCCTGATCTGTGCTAGAATCTGGGAGCACACTTGAAGCGGTCACAGCTCCTGGGATTGATCCTGGGGCATGTAGACTCTCAGGGGGGACATTTGGCAGTTAACCAGAAGCCCGGGCAGAATGAAGGGGCTGGAACAGCAAGCTGCAGGGTGGGTACCCTGTGGACCAGGGTTCAGTGTGTTGCCTTCCCAGCGTCTGGAGTCCCGCTGGCATCAGTAGCCATTCTCTGGATTTGGGACCAATCAGAGGGTGTTAGGGGGTCGTGTGAAGGACCACATCTTTCCATGCTGACAGTCCAGTTTGTCTAGCACATGATAGCACTGGTGACGGACAGGTAGACAATGAGGAAGGATGTCAGGAGGGACAGACAGGGCAGGCAGCATGGAGCTGGGAAGAATCTACACACTCACCTTGCCTGAGGTCCACAGCCCCTTCCTTGGGGACTGGGCATAGAGTCATCAGGAGACCTTTCTCCTGCAGTAGGAAAGTGGTTGGCATCTTGGAAATGAGGGAGTTCTGGAGTGTTCTACTAAGATACAGGCTTGCCACTGCCTCCCAGTGCTGTTACCAGAATAAATGCCTGAGCTCAGCTGAAAATGTCCAGGCTAACCTCTCCCGGGCTGTCCCTTGGAAGCCACTGGTAACTGTGCTCTCTCCCTGCAGATGAGAGGGTCCTCTCCATCCTGAGACACCAGAATTTGCTGAAGGAACTCCAAGACCTGGCTCTCCAAGGTATTTCAGCACTGCACACAGTTCTGGGACGGGCGGGGTCGGGGGGGGGGGGGGG